ACCTCAAATTCTTCTGCTATGTTATGGCGTGATAGTAGGCTCAGTGTAGCCGTTGGAACTCCGAGGGATTTGTTGCATAAGTTGAGCAGTCGATGACAGGATGTGCTTAGAATTGCTGGGTTGACCACCAATGTCTGAACCAAGTGCATATCTTGTCGTGTCAATATGTCTGTGCTTGGAACCCGTCTGCAAAGTCAGACGCTGAATCTCTTGAGGCTAGCAAGTTGTCAATTTCAGTGTCGGTGTATTTACCTTCTGACCCAGCCAGTACGTCAACCTCTGCTTGCACGCAAGTGTCGGAGGACAGTTGAGCATTGGTTGGATAACTAGTTGACCATTTGTACGTTTTATCAGCACTGGTTGACATTGAATCTATTTCTGTTATGTTGTACAAATTTCGTGTCATGTGGGTGTTTGTCTGGCGATGGTCAGGGAGCTTGGTGTTGACATTATATTACCACTACAGTTCTGCACCTGCTTGGTACTCGAAGTTGCAGTTGCGACCGAGTTGTTGTTATTCTTCTTGCCAAATTAGGGGTGCCAAGTTGTTCTCCTGGGGTGTGTATCACCCATGTCCATGCCATGAGCACTTTTGTTGAAGACATTATGGAAAGTTTCATTGGCATCGACTGTCTTTGCATTTTTGAGCGAGGCCATCATAATATCAATATAGGTGCCTCAATCCTTTTTTCCAAGGGCCTATGAAGTTTTGTCCTTTGTTTGTCGGCATTACTTCGTTGCCCTTGAAGGGCATGTTTTGCTGTATGCTCTGTGTTTTTCTGCCAGCACGCCTGATAGCTTTCTGCTCTCTCTTGTTTGTGCCCGTCGCTACTCTCCTTTGTCTTTGCCAACGCTCTTTCAATGTAGGTTTCGAAGTGTTCCTTCTTCAGCAAATAACGTAGGACCAACCCTGGACCCTGACGCTCAAACCCTCTACCTTTCTGCTTCCAGGTGGTGCAGCCAGAATTTGAGCTTGAGCGACTGCGGAAGGAGCATCTCGACTTTCCCTAGTCAGTCTCCGAACCCTCAGCGCGAGACGCGGACATTGACAGAAGAGGGGCCATCAATGCGTCCGGAACCCGACGGCCTAAAACCCGGAGCCCTAAACTCTGAGATCCTGAAATCCAGAGCCTGAAAATGTCCATTCGCCCTCTGAAGACTCCGAGGCTTGAGACAGTCAGGGCCACAGCCTCAGCTGAGACCTTGGCCGCTGCGCGGAAGGACCTTTCATTGCCCGGGGGCACCCGGGGCTCAGTTAAGAAAATGGTGGTCGTCACCTGCTGCAGGAGCTGCTGAAAGAGCGGCAGCAGTGGGAGGTGGGGGGCCCAGATCAGGGAAATGCAGCTTTCGTAGCCCTCATGTCGCCTTATGGTGAGGAGAAGCAGAGCATTCACAACTCAGCTCCTTGCCGAGGCCGAACGAGCAGAGCTGCAGCGCAGCCTGGAGGACACGTCGCCAACTTTAGATCCGGATCGTGTGTAACACTCCGCCTCAGATGGCCGTAGCTTCTTTGAATGAGTGAGGCAAGTCCTGACTCGGATGCACTATCGATTTGAACCCTGCAGATGTCACGTGGAAAGTTGACAGACGGTCTCTCTGCGCACTTTCCACATCTTGGCTTGACATTTGCAGGAAGCCGAGCGAAAATCCGATCCGAAAGACGCCGAAGGCGAGGAAGGGTGAACTCACCAGCGGTGCTACGGCCCCGGGGCATGTCTTTCCCGGCCATTGGAGCCCCAAAGTCATCGAGTTCCCTGCAGGCGCAGCCCAGCTCGACCTTTTGTCTGCCGGGCAGTGGCTGGCGCAGCTCCTGCAGCCTCCGGCGGAGGGCCGAAAGTCTCCAGAGGCCGGAGGCAGCTTGAAGGCTAATGTAGCACCCTGGTGAAGAAACCCTGAACCTTTACACTAGGGGTTCTTAATCTGAACCCCCCAAAAAAATTGGGGTTATAGTTATAGGGCCAGGGTTTCTTAATCAGGTTCCCACATTATGGAGCCTCGCCATGCCTGTGGCCACCCATTGAGCTCCAGGTTTCCCTGGACCTGGCGGGTGCCTGGACCCCCCTGGCACAAGAGCTCCCGCAGCGGGAAAGAGGGCGCGCCACACGCTCAGCTTCAGCGGGCGGGGACACTGCTGAGGGCTTTTGCACGGGCAGGGTCTTATTGACACGGACAGGCACAGGGACACTCTCTCCCCCTCGCTGCCTCTCTCTTTCTCTCTCTTTCTCTCTCTTTCTCTCTCTGTGTCTCTCTCTCTCTCTCTCTCTCTCTCTCTCTCTGTGGCACTTGTCAGACTCTTTGCAGTCTTCGGCCAGACGGCGAAGGTGCACTCCCTGCACTTCGGCGTGTTCTTCGGAGATGACAGGCTCGATGGTGGAAGTTACGGTACTTTCTGCCGCATCAGGCGGCATACGGAACCCCCTGCAAGAATCTGCAAGAGGCAGACTCCGCTGAAGCTTTCGTCTGCGCGGCTGTGTCCAGAGGCAGGGCATGACGGGCAGTCCCTAGTCATCTGAAGCACCTCACAACTCTGTCCCATTGGGATTATCATCCGATGCGCTGAAGGCACTGTCTTGGGCTCCTTCCAGCAGTGAGGCCGGAAATTCCAAGGGTACGACAAAGACAAGCAGCAGCAGCCTACGACGACAAGCCCCTCCTCCAGCTGCTCCTCCTCCTGCTCCTCCTCCCTCCCTCCTGGTCTTTTGGTATTGACGCCATGACTCTTGTGTTGTTTGTTGTCGTGGCTGCTTCTGACTGCTCCTCCCGAGTCAGACTGCTCGGGGAACCGATGCCTCGTCTCTGATGAACTGTGTGCACTTTAGATCTTGCTTTCGACCTGGACCTCGAGCGATCAGCAAGGCGGCTGCGGCTCCTGCTCGTGCTGTGTCTGCTTCTGCTGCTGGGATTCTGGCAGCTTTTTCAACCCATCCCTAGTTTGGAAGCAGCAGCGTCTGCAGCCTCAATTCACTGTCGCTAGAACTCTCGGCGAAGACAGCCCTTCTAAGTATTTCATGCGGCCTGGCTGCCAGGCTTCTGCCGCAGGAATCGTGCCTGCAAGCAGTGGGAAGCAGCATGCGGCATGCATCGAGTTACTGCCTGCTGCCGATCTCGTGGCGCAGTTGCTTCTACCCGACCAAGGAAGCGGCGTCGATAGGACGGCCCTTCAGGCAGACCTGTGCCAAGGACTGAGGACTGGAAACCGGCAGCTGGCATTGTAGATTTTGTCCCAGAGGTGCCGCCGGATCTGAAACAAATCGGCACCTTCCCAAGGTCGTGCGCACGAACGATTTCTTGCTGACGTCTTCTTGCCATGGGCAAAGACGCAGGAGAAGGGTGCCTAATTCCGTTGGCCGAGAGCTCACACGCAGACGCGTGATCTGCTTGGAGCTTCAGGAAACCTCGGAACGCCGGAGCGTGGCTTGGCTGCTGTGCAACGATGGCGAGGCATTGCGAGCGAGAGGGGTTCCCCTCAACCCCTAAACCCTGCAAACCCTAAGCCCTAAACCCCCTAAACCGTAAGCCCTAAAACACCCTAAACCTCTAAACCCCTAAACCCCCTAAGCCCTAAGCCCTGAGCCCTAAACCCTAATTTTGCTGGTCCATGTGGGGAATGTTCTGTCGCGAAGGCCTTCACCCTTGGCCAGGCGATGCTGGCTTTTGGGAAGGCGTGGGGCAGCCTTCAGAGTCAGGGCCGATGCTTCGGGTTTAGGGTTTAGGGTTTTAGGGTTTAGGGGCTTAGGGTTTAGGGTTTAGGGGGTTTAGGGTTGAAGAGTCAGGCATTTTTCGTTTCATTTCAGGCGTTGGGCTGTGCGCTGCCAGTCTCCCAAAACACGTCTCCTTCTCAACGTGGCAGGCTCCCGGATCCGGCGAGAGGCGCGGACATGGGCGGTTCTGGGCCCCTCGCCCCTAAACCCTAAACCCTAAACCCTAAACTCTGCGTTTTTCGTTGCTTCCAGGTGGCGCGCCACGGTCCTCGTCGTAGACCGAGCCAAGTCCAACGAGTCCGAGCCGGCCGTGGAGGCTCCCCCCATTATATTACATTACATTACACGACACTATATTATATTATATTGTACTATATTACATTATATTATATTATATGATATTATATCGTTTCGGAGCACCGACAAAGAAAAGATGATTTCTTTTGTGTCGGCGCGGGAGGTTTTGTTGCAGCGTGGGTGATGTCAAGACTTTCCGGCGTTGATCGAAAGCTGGTACATCTCGTCGATGTTTGCCGCCCGCATCCCCTAAACCCTAAACCCTAAATCCGGTACCCTAAACCCTACGCCCTTATCCCTTTTTGGATTGCGCTTTTCCCTGCTTAGCCGCGCAGGCCCTGGCGCTTGCCGAGGGCGCCCGGCGAATGGTCTTCGACATGATCTAGAGACCTGCTCGGGAAAACAGGGTTTCTGAATATAGTATAGCAGAATATAACATAATGTAGTATAATATCTAATATAATATAAAAACATACTATACTGCTCGGGAAAAGAGGGTTTCACCGTCGAGGGGAGACTTAAAGAGGGCATGAATGAAGCAAGAGCCTCCAGATTCCGGTCGAATTCGGAGAAGACAAGTCGCCATCGCAGGTTGCTAAAGTTCTACAACTCCAAAGACATTCGGCTGGAGGAGATCGCGTACGTTGCCATTGACGAGGCACCATTGAAATCCAAGTGCTTGGTCTGCACAGGGCCTTTTCGAAGCCCGGGCAGGCTGACTTCCTTCTGACCCAGGGCTTCGATGACTTGTACAAAATCCTGGACCTAGTGGACCAGGATTCGAGGCCATGACATGAATGCTATCTGGAAACGAGCTCGGGCAGTGATCGAGTTTACCCCCTCCGCAGGCACAAGCGTCAGATGCGCTACTCCTTGATAACTGCCTCCTGGCTTCACGGGAGAGGTTGTGCAAGTTTTGGACACTGAGCTGTGATGTGTGGCCCGCCGGCAAGCTCGCAAGGCCCAAAACGGACCCCACCCCCTTGCCCCGAGTTTTTTGGCATGGAGGGTCCACTCGATGTGACAACATGTCTCGCGACCGGAGCCGTACTTCTCGCGGGCCACCTCTATCTGTGCGGGGGTGGCTTTGTATCCATGAAGGAAAGGATACTTCAACAATGTAAATCGTCCGATGCGCCGGCGCAAGTGGGCCGGGTCAAAGACAGTCGCGTGGACGAAGCCTTCCTCCAACTCCGACAGAAAGTTTCCAGAATTTCCCTCGAGTGTACCCTTCATGCAATATGCCTGGCCTTGCTCTGGTTTTTGTACGAGTTTGCTACGAGACCAGGGCGAGCTCAAGCTATGAGACTTGCAGCTACCCTTTGTCCGTACTCGATGAATCTACTTCTTGCCAGAGAGAGGATAGAGCTGACAAGGAGGAACCTCCAGGTGTCCCAAGTGCTGTACATGCTCACCTTCGGCATCTTTGTCTTGGCGGGATCTGTTCCAGGAGATAGTTATAATGCAACTGATCCGGTCGCCCTGCAGGCATTCCAACTGAGCTGTCGTTTTTCAATGACGGTGTTCTTTCTAGATACGGCCTTGGTTGTTCCGTGCCAATGCCTAGTGTCTCTGGCAGAGTGCTGGGCTTACAGTCCAAGCCGTGGTGATTCTGCGACTTCCTTCATCTTTGCCCAGCTTGTGGTGGTGGTCATAAACGGACTGCCTTCCCTGGCGCTGGAATTGTGTGTTCGATCCCACCTTCGCGCCTCCCTGGCCTCGGCAGACGCAGAATCCATGGTGCAGGGCTTCCGACACGTCCTTCGCGGCATCTGCGATGGCGAGGTGCAGCTCGGCTCAGCACGATCCATTCTGCAAGCCTTTCTTCTTTGGGTTTTGGATTGTGAGAAGAGCCTTTTTCTTTTTGGGTGCCGAGGTTGCTCGACAGCAGGATGCAGATCTGCGGGGAGGGGAAGTGCCTCCAGCACCTCCTCATGACCGGAGCCAGCCTCCAGGGCCGAAGCTTCGCGGACTTGATTTGGGAGGAGCAGAAGCGGGAGTTTGACCGTTTCGTGGAGGTGCAAAAGGGCTCCGAAGACGCTGCGCCGGCTTGTCTCCGCACTTCTCTCCGGGGCTCTTGCAGCATTCGCGTTTCGGTGGACCTCTTCCATGTCCCCTTGGAGCTCTATGGGGAGAAGCATCACTTGTTCGCCTTTCGGGAGGACGGGAATCTCAACGAGGTTCAAAGGCAGGCCGTGGAGGGTATGGAGTTGGAAGCGTCCATGTTGGGGAGGATGAAAGGGGCAGAGGCACCTTCGCAGCCCTCGCACCCCTCGCACTCCCAGAGACCAAATGACCCGGGTTCCGGGTGTTCAGACAGCTCTGTTGGTGCTGGGTGCGTGTTCTCGGCATACCCCTCCCTCTCAGAAATTACCTTGCTGGTTGACACAGCCACGCCGAAGTGTGACGTCCGACAAGCACATCTGAAGTACCGAGCCGATCGAGAGCACCGAGAAGAGGACAAGGCTTCCCTTTCGCCCTCTCTGAGAAAGCTGGTGCTTCCTCTCGACTGGGAGACGATCCGTTCCAGGGCCACCCGCTATGTCCGGAAGGCTCAGCAAGGCCGAACAGAGCCCAAGAACATGCACGGGATACGCCTGAGGACAGAAAGCTCACGGAAGCTGGTCATTGCCAAGACTGCCACGTTGCTCCCTGCCCAAACAGATCCAACCTCACTTGTATGGGTGCACCTCTTGGATTTCGTCGAAGATAGCTCCAGATGCAGACAGCCACCAGATCTCGCCGGCATTCGCGAATTTCGGTCCGCGACTGGCGTTTGCAAACCGGCCAGCGAGCCGAGCTCTAAATCTGGTCTCGAAGCGGTCGATGTCCAGACTTAAGTCTTTTAATGGGCCGTCTTATTCGGTGCCTGAGTTCCAGAGGCAGATCCCGAAGAAGCCGTCCGAAGAAGAGCCCGATGCCTTTTTTTGCTACCGTTTCCAAAGCTTCTGATATCCTCCGATCCGCGAAACACCGAGGCCAGCATCACGAAGCCCTTGTGGGGAGACTCAAGCTCGCACTGCGCTAGTGTAGGGTTTCGGAGTTTGGGGTTCAGGGGCGGTGTAGCACTATGGTTTCCGTTACAGCAACGCTCTCTATAGCTTGCGGAAAGTGTTGTGCGGGAGGCTTTGTAGCATGCAGCCAGGGCTCACTTGGCCACGACTCAGGGGCTCCGGGGTCGCTGGTCTTGAGAGCAACTGTTCAGGTGGAAGATTTTCCAAGAAGACCCTCGATTTAGGCCGGGAATCCCGAGTGATCCTGTCTTTGTGTGTCTGTGTATATATATATATAATATTATATGTATAGTATATGTATATATAAAAAATATATATATATATGCATATATCTATCTATCTATCTATCTATCAATCTATCAAAAACAAACACTCCCGTGTGGAAGTGGATAACGGCGACCTGACTGACAGGACGCTGAAAATACTGGAGTCCAGATCGCTTCACAGGCCGCAGGCAACCTGCTAGCAACAACTGCATCCAAGCGGGATTTCGGGAGAACTGCGTTACCTCGGCCAGGCAAACTGCTCCCACACCATGAACCTGACGAAGGGACGCTGCAAAGTCAGAATGTTGATGGGCCCTTAGCCACCTCTGCATCTCTCTGAGGTGGCAGTCTGCATTGTCATTGTCTGTTGATTCTGCCGCGACTTGTGGTCCAAGGGTGCAGCTTGTCCAGAGAGACCTCGGGGAGGAAAGTCTCCGCCCGGGCCCTACAAACTCGTAGACTCGCGAACGGCTTGTCGCCGGTCTGCATGTGCCTCCGGCCTAAGCCGAAGCAAAAGCCAAACTACAGCCCCAAAAGCCCCAACCAAACCACAAGCAACCCAAAATTCACAACCTCCCTAAACCCTAAACCCTAAATCCTAAAACCCTAAAGCTCCTCAGCAGGCATCTCGGTTGCCAGCTTGCAAGGTGCAAGATTGCACCACAACGCTTAAGGCGTTTGGTCTT